GCAGTATAACTTTTGACCTGTAGTCCAAGCTGGTAAATGAAGACTTTACAACAAGCTTTAAGCTGATTCACTTGGTGTTGCTCAGTAAATCAGCTGTAGTCATTGTTGTGGTCTTGTAATCCAAAGGCTGTAGGTTCGAGCCCAGGTTGTGTCAGGCAGGGCCTAAAACAGTTGCCAAATTTTTCATGTGAGTTTGCTTCGTGTGATTCTTGAATAAAAAGAGCAGCCAAAAGAAAAACAGCATCATGTAGTTCAGGAGGACGGCACGTTATTCATAGTTTTTAGTCTGTGTGTCTTCATGTGGGTGGTAATGAAAGTCCTGATACTATTTCCAATACTGTGACATGATTTATTACAGCATTGCAATCTATTCAAATTAGTGATTGCAGCATCGGGGGAGTATATCAATACAGAACACACTAGGGAAAAAAAATGTTTAAACCATACATAGATGGGCAGAAGAGCAGAACGTTTGTAAAAAAAAAAAAAGGCATGCATAATGGTATACATTTTGCCTTTAAGTGCTTAACTTGAATTACATTGTCTTTCATATGTACCTTATTTGTATCACAGCATCAGTTACATTCTCAATCAATAAACAATTTATTATTAAACCTGTTTAAGCAATTTTTTATTCTGCTCAGCACCAGAGCTTGCTGAAATCCCATCGCAAACATTTTTACCTCCGTGGTTATCAGCTGTGGTAGTTCTTTAATGTAGCTTGTGCCCCTTTGATCAATAGAAAAACACGTGGCCAACCTCTTTCCTTTCCCTGACCAGTTATAAAAATCAACCTTGGCCTGCAGCAAAATGCCCTTCAAAGTTCACGTGCCCATGAAATTAATAACAAAGGGGTCAAGCCTGCTTCTAACAATTAATTTCACTTTGTTCACATCTTAGATGTTGAGTGGTGAAATATTTCTGTGATAATGCAACCGCTGTCCCTTGTGAGCCCCCGAGGTGATTTATTGTAGCAGAGAGGAGACCAGAGGAGCAGTGAATGCAAAAAATAAAAATAAAAAAARCATATGCAGAATTGAACAGTAGATTTCACACTCCACATTCACTGAGGATGCATGTGTAAGATATTGCAATTACAAAAAAAAAATATGAAAAAAATGATGGCTCACCTAAAAGCAATGAAATAGYAAAATAAAACACAGAGCCTAATAGCAGCAGGACATATAAAAACTAACTTAGCAATAATTATCCACAGTTTAGTAGCGTGTGAACAAGCATTACATCAGTCTCTGCTACTTTTACCTCCTTCTACAACAAATAAATTAAACTTTAGGAAAAACACAGACTTCCATTGTGACAATATGAACGGGCTAATTTTGTTTCATCCAGTCAGCTAAAAACGAATGCAATGTGAAAAGATCTTGAATAAATACATTCAACCTGTTATCAGAARGCCTCACAAGCTTAACATTCTGTTTTTAGTTAAATCAAAAATTGGCTAAAATAAAACAGTTGCATGTCCTCTACCCTCTACTGGTGTGAAGAAAGTACAACAAGTAATTAGCTTTAGCTGCAGGGGGGTGAAAGCAGAGTCACAAAAAAACATGTGAAGTGTGGAATAAAAAGGGAGGAAAGAACACTGGTCTTTTTTTTTTTTTTTTGCTTCTGTATTCCTTCTGTTTTCGTTCAAACATTTTTTTACTTCCATCTCCCTCTGTCTGCTGTGTTTTGTATGCGTCTTTTATCCGTTCTTGTCTGTCCTGTGTGTCATTGCTGTGAGGGCAGAGAATTAAAGTTATTTTTTTTTACACAGTGGCTGTTTTATGCTCTCCCCTGTGTTGCTCACTGTTCTAAATGACTTAGCTCTCATGGCTGGACATAAAATGCCTCTGATAAGTCGTTAACATTTYGTTGTACTTTTTTTTAATAGATCAAACTGTACAGATGTCCTAGATGTGATCCCCCTTATTTTCTAGAGGCAGAAGAAAACCACACACACACACAAACACGCACGCACGCACGCACACACACACACACACACACATGTTTGTTTCTGGACCCCGTGGGGACCTTCCATTGACTTCATGTTTTTTAGACTTTATAGCCTAACCCTGACCATATACTCATGCATTTGGACCCGTGGGGACCTGACAATGGTCCCCACGATTCACTTCGGTCCCCACCTGGCTGCCTTTTTTTGTAAAAAAAATACCCCACGTTGTAGGAAAAACCCGTACACACACACACACACACACACACACACACACACACACACACACACACACACACACACACACACACACACA